GTGCTCCGCCCCCCCCCATCGAGGAAAGAAATACGATGACCATGACCAAGATATCGCGGGATCTTGTCGATGCCGATCTCGGTCATGGTCCATGCCAGACGTCGCCGACTCTCGAGGATGATTTACACATTCATGATGACCAAGATCGACGATGACCACGATCGTCGCCGGCGTTTTCGCGCTCAGTCTTGGCCATGGTCGTTGATTCTCTTTCCTCCACCGCACCAGCGGGAGCGGCCCGCGCAGCGTCGGCACCGCTCGACGAGGGTTCGGAGTTGCCCCTGCGTGTTCTCCCCTTCTCCTCGTCCTCCGCCTCGTCTGTTTCTGCCTCTTCTTCCTCCTCGTCGTCCTGCGTCTCCTCCTTCTCCTCCCTCCCCTCTCTTGTGGCAGGTCCCCTCCTCTCCTCCTCCTGCTCCTCTTCCTCCTCCTCCTCCTCACTCGTTTTCTCTCCCAGGAAGTCCTGGGGGCACCCCACCCAACGAAAAAAAAATCCCGGACCTTCAGGAGGACTGGGCCTGTGGCATTCCGCCTCTGAGTTGGTCTTCTTATCATGAATTACAATGCTTACAGGGGTGGCCCGGCAGGGGCATGGGATGAAGAGGGAGAGGGGAGCGGGGGGCGGATGGCGGGGTCGGTCGGGGCAGCCACGCAAGCAAGCGTTGTGGCAGACATGGGGGCCGCGGTGGCCGAGCGTGGCCGCGCTGCCGGGCGCGGTGGCCGTTGTGGAGGCCGAGCTGGGTGGGCCGATGGTCGGGCGCCGTGGTGATGTCCGTGGTGGTTTGGCTGGTGGTCCTGCTGGTGGGGTACGTGCTGCTGGTGGTCAAGCGTCCACCTTCCGGTGGCCGTGGTGGCTGCCTGTTGGCGCAGTGGTCGTGGGGGCGGCCGCAGGAGTCGAAGTGGTCGTGGTTTTGGTCACGGTCGCTGGTGGCCGTCGTGGCCAGCAAAGCCGCCATGATGGCAGTCGTTTTCCCTCCCTCCCTCCCTCCCTCCCTCCTCCTCTTCCTCCTCCTCGTTGTTGTCGTCGTCCTCCTCCTCCTCCTCCACCTCTCCCTCCTCCGCCCCCCCCGCCGTCGCCGCTCGTGGTCGCCGCTGGTCGTCGGTGGCTGCCGCTGATGCTTTCTGCCCGGGCCCTGCGCCCTTTCGGGGCGCGCGTCGGCCTTCTGGCGATCCCAAAATCCTTGCCTGCGTCCGCCTTCCCCCCCTCGAAAAAGAAGACACAGCACAAATTATAACCATAGACTTTTGGAGGTCCCCTTGGGTTTCTTAGGTCGGCGCCGGACCCCCCTGGCGGCGCCTCGGTCGCCGCCCTGGCGCGCTCCGCGCGCTAGGGAGGCAAGTCCAGCGCTGAGCCAAGAAGTTCACGCGGACCTCCGAAAGTTTGTACTTATGCATTTCCCTTTCACATCGTAAGTGGGGCTCTCGTTTTCTCTGGACACCCAGCGCAGGAACAGGAAGGAATCACATCATCATCATCAACAGCATCATCTTCACTCACTCACTCACTCGTTCGCTTACTCACTCACTCGCCTCCTCACTCTTTCACTCACTCTTTCACTCACTCTTTCACTCGCTCACTCACTCATCCACTCACTTGCGCACTCAGCCACTCACTCGTTCGCTCGCTTGGTCTCTCCCACACTGTCTTAGTATCATCACACTCACTCACTCACCCAGTAGCTCTCATTTACTCTCATTCACTCGCTCCCTCAGTCAATCACTCGCTCGCTCATTCACTCACTCATCATCGCTCATTCACTCACTCACTCACCCACCCACCAGCCCACCATGATCATTACCATCGTCATAGTCAATGCACCCCTTCCGCACCACCAATCTTTCGCCCTGCCTGCTCTCTCTCCTTGCGCGCGCTGCCTGCTTGCTGTACTGACTGACTACTTCTGCTTCCGCAGCTATACTACTTTGGCTCTGGGGAAACGGAAAAGGAGCGAGCCTGTGGCGCGCGCGCGTGCGTCGGCAGGCGGGCCGGCCTCCTCTCTTCAGTGGTACCATAGTGTATGCTTGACGGCATTATCTTTTCTTCCCCATGTCATCTGCGGAGCCCACTGACTATGATATATTTTCCGAACATCTTACAGGGATTATGAATATCCAGGCGAAAGACTGTTTATCAGCCGAAACGACGGCACAGCCGTTCGCTTCGCAGAGCATGGGGTCGCAAGAAAGAGCGCTCGGACGAATAGAAGACCGAAGACCTTCCGAGCGTCAAGGAGGTGTAGGCGCCTCAACGAAGCGACAGATACCTTTCAACCCTGACAGAAAGAAAGCATCCGAGTCTGTGTTTGTCTTGACAGAAGGGGATTCATCGGTTGATTCTGTGACAAGATCCAGAGAGCAACCCTCGAACGGAAGGTATGGCACAACCAAAACTTCCGCCGAGGGACCATCCGAGTTGGCGTCGTTGAGCCCTGGCTTTCAGCCATTTATCGAGATAGATTTCGACATGGAAAAGTTGTTGGATCACATCCCCATCGACATGTCGGGTGTGTTTTACTTTGCCGCCTGGATCGGCCACGGTGCTTCGAACTTTCCCAGGATTCGAACACTACGACGAGTCAAAGCACTGCTTGCAGTGCCTTGAACCAGGCACTGGCACCAACGACGCACCCCGAGCTTTCTCACTAAAGCTCAGAAGGACCACGAGAGGTTTTGGTCTCTGACCCACGTCCTGCGACGAGGAGTTCGAGACGAGTAGCAACCTGCTTACAGCCAAACATTTTGATGATATCACCATGGCCGGTACTGAGGGCACCATTGACAAATGTGTCAAGTGCTTAGAAGACGTCTTTGGTAAGTGTAAACTCAACAAGCACACATGCACCAATTGTGCTGTGAGATAAACCAGGGACGAGGACGGCAATGTTAGTTTGGACCAAGAAGAATACATCAAGCAGCTACGTCCTATACGACATCCTGAGCTTACCAGCGCCGACGTTGACGCTCAGACATCCAAGATGGTTGCATACGTGTTCGTTAGCCTCAGAGGCGCGCTGGCGTATGCATTAATCACCCATGTGTGGTTGATGATGTATGTTGTTTCTCTACAGCGTCCAAGAACCGACCAATATGCAAGTGCGTCGATTCAACGCGATCGCCAGGAAACTGCAGGCTTGTCCTAAGAATATCGTCTACCAGGCGATGACCCTTACGGGCGAGGCCGACCTGCGCAGCGACTCAGGCTACCGACGCCTGAGTGGAGACGTCGATGACGACGTCCAAGGCTATGGTATTCGCGGGGCAAACCTGCTACGGCGTGGAAGCAAGCCCTCTGGTAAGCCCCTCGTCCACTTGATCGATGCGTACTGCAAGTCTCGCCGCTTGCAGGCCCGCTCGAGCTATTCAGCAGAGACACTAGCAGGTGCACATAACTTGGAGGACTGTTATCCCACGATCGTGAGTCTGCGCGAGCTCCACGCAGGGCCGTTAACTCCCACCCAGTTGCAATACATTGGGTGGCCTGAGCATCAAGGTCATTTTGACCATAGATGTTGAGTCTGTTTTCAAGTCCGTGTCAAACAAAGACTTGAAGAAGCCGACTGAGTGTACCCTTTTAGGACACATCAGCTGGGTACGACAGATGATGGAGCGAGGAATCGTGCACAGTATTCATTGGTGCGACACCCGCGATATGGCTGCGGACGGTCACGCCAAGGGTAGCATCGACAGAGATATGCTCCTATAGGTCATGGGAGGTATACAATCCTTCAAACATGACGCAAGAGTCATACTCCCTATCGGGCTGGCCAGACATCTCGTTCTATGGCCGCCAGAGGAGTATCTGTTGTGCCTAATAATACAGGCAAGGCAACCTGCGTGCGGGTTCACTTTCCTTACGGCCCCGCTTTTCTGCTGCTCATTTGTAGGTAGTCGCTGCTGTATCTGCTGTATAGAAGCGGCGGGTTCACGCCTCGTCTCTCTCCCCCCCGACTCTAAAGTGAGCTTGGCGTTGCATTTGAGTGGGGACGAGCGTGCATCCGCGGCTGCTTGGCTCAAAGCGGCCGGCCGCCCAGATCTGACTACACCTCAGCGCGAGGTGTACTATTTGCCATCGATGCCAAAACACTGCTTGAGATGGCTCGCCCCCTACTACCGGGACTATCGTTACTGCGGTACAACAGAGCGGGAACTTGGCTTCGCCTAAGGCGAAGCTGTTGGTTGGGCCTCCCAACCCTTTTCAAACTTGGGAGTCGCGCTATCGTTCGAGACTGCATCGCGATTCATGCAAGACGCGCGCCTCAGCAATCCGCCCGCCCCTTGTCCCTTCCGTGCGTCCGTCATCTCGGCTCCTGCATTAGGGGCTGCACCAAATGCACGATGCAGGTATGAAATATATACCCGCAAAAGGGGTATGATCGGAGACGAAGCGAGCGAACATCGAGGGTTTGGGATATACGTGTTGAGTCGCACGCGAGCAGACAAGTGTGAACGGCTTTAACATGATTGTTGTTGTTGCTGCTGTTGTTGGTGCTTTTTGTTGTTGTTGCTGTTGAAATGTCCCTACGGAACGATAGTGTTTGTTGATCCCCCCTCTGGTAACAAATTGGTTTCTCAATTGAAATGCCCCTCCCAGGTACCATATGCGTTTTCCATTTCAAGGGCATGTTTTCCTCATCAACTGCGTTGTCTGCCACTGGACTACAGAGACAACGGCTCCCGCCTGACACTTCCTCGCAATTTACTGAAGAGTCGCGCGCTCACTAGGGACTTCCTTGCAATCTATCCAAGAATCGCGCTCTCGCTTGTGACGTCCCCGCAGTTTATTCAGGCGCCACGCCCCCGCCATTCAGGAATCGCGTTCTCGCGGGGGGCTTCCTCATAATTTAGGAATCGCGCTCTCGCCCGAGACTTCCTGGCATTCGCGTAACATGCGTGTTTTTCTATTGAAGTGCCCGTCCCGGGGCTCGCTGTGTTTTTACCGGGGGAGGTCTTCTTGCTCAAACTATGCCCGTGGCCTCCGGTTTACAACAACAACGGCTCCCGCT